GGTGGGTTGACTCCATGGCTCTGGCCCAAGGGGAGCAGAACAAAATGGCAGGAGAGCAGCTCAGGACAGGGCACCAGGGAGCAGAGAGAGGGAGAATCCAGGGACAAGATATAGTCCCCCAAAGCCACTCTTAGTAACCTACCTCCTCCACTCATACCCTAACTGCCCTGTTAATGCACATCAGTGGATTAATCCACTGACTAGGTCACACCTCTCCTAACCCAATCTTTTCAGCTCTAAAATTTATTGCATTGTGTCACACACGAGCTTTTAGGGGACACCACATCTAAACAATAACCGTGACGTGAATAATAAAGTAGAGTGATTTTGTAGCCATATCCTGAATTACAAGGTAGCTGAATATGGTCTCTGTCTCTTAAAATGTCATATTGTCCTTCTACTTTTTAATCTTTAAGGAAGCGCTTTCTGACTCCTCCGCTCTCTGTATTGGCGGCCTTACTTGTCTTTTATTTGGGGACTCTTATTGAGGAAAGTAACACTGAGTTGAACACAAGCACTCTGATACTATGACAGTCCAGCAACAGAGATGGTCCAAGTAACTAACGAGAGGGTAGCATATACAGAGACAGTCTAAGTAACTAACGAGAGGGTAGCATATACAGAGATGGTCTAAGTAACTAACGAGAGGGTAGCATATACAGAGATGGTCTAAGTAACTAATGAGAGGGTAGCATATACAGCCTGGATACACTGGGTGAAGGGATGGTTCATGTCTCCAGTGGAGTGGAGCAGCCTCATGACACTCAGAATGTAATTTAAAGCTTCTGAATCTTCTTTGTGCAATCTTCTGTGTGTAGTTTGCCCACTTCTTGGGAGGGTGAGAGTGATGGACTTTTAATCCACTTTGGGGGAGCAGGACATGTGATTAAGATAACTTCCTGGGATCCTCAGGCTTCTACTTAGGGATGATGTCGAAACTGTTTAGTAGTTGGGGAAGGAGGGTCATAGTGTGGGAATTGGTTATCTCCAAGGATGGGGAGGCTGAGGCAGGAGGATCGTGAGTTCAAAGCCAATCTCAGCAAAAGCGAGGTGCTAAGCAGCTCAGGGAGACCCTGTCTCTAAATTAAATGTAAAATAGGGCTGGGGATGGGCTCAGGGGTCGAGGGCCCCTGAGTTCAATCCCCAGTCCCCTCCCAACAACAAAAAAAGAAATAATTAGACATGGAAAGAACTAATGCATGCAGCCTCTGTTAGATAAAACTCATGGTATTTGTTCAAGAGTTGTGTGATGCTTCCATTGAGCATTTAGGGATCTTAAATGACAACAAAAATCACTTCCCACTGAGAATTGAAAGGGCAGATTTGCAAATCTAGCAAAGTAAAAGTACAGTGGTCCTCCTGGTAGGCAAAAGTTTCCCTTACTGAGTTTTCACAGTTGCCCACGTTAACCACTGTCCAAAACCAGGAAATTTCCGTGAAAACTTAGAATTCATTCATTGTTAAGTTGTTCTGATGTTTGATTTGTTTTATTTAGTTGTTCTATTTTATTTTTCACGTTTGTTCCTGATCTTTTACCAATCCTGATTGACAAATTAAACTTAATTATAGGCTCATGTGAATAGGAAAAAAAAAACATTTATTTTCATGCCGTATCTTCACCTGCCATATCTCCAAGAAATGCCGGGATAGCGTTTGATATGGTTGGTGGCTTCAGGTACCCCCCTGGGGATCTCGGAACATTTCCTTGCCACCCAAGGGGGTGTGATTATTGCTCTTTCTTTCTGAACAGAGGCAACTAAACCTACCCGTTTGCCCTGTTTGCAGAGATGAAAGCGTATTCTCAGAACTCTAGGGACACAGTGTCCCTTGCAGGAACACACTGATGTCATGATGGAGTTGCTTTTATCAGTAGAGAGTGAACTAGCCCAGTGTGGGATCCCCAGGAATCATTTTTTCCACGTGTGTTGGTTGGAATTTTCCAGAACTTCCTTGAAGTGCGATGACGTCATCCCTCCAACGCCAATGGGTGTCCTCTCTTGCTTAACTCTTTCTGCTTGAATTCTTTTTCTACGGTGATGACCTCCACCTACCCCCTACGTGAAGGAGCAAATGCTCCAGAGGGTCCTTGGTGCATTTTTGAGGAGGGTCAAAGGATCCCAAGAGCAACACATTTGAGAGCCGCCATTTTGAATTCACAACCCATTGTGAATTGGCATTCTGAGCTGGCCAAGACTGACTCACGTCTGTAGTTAAAAGTAATTCCTCAGTGTTAGGTGACAATCTCTCCTTCTGTTCTTTGTCTTTTAAGGTCTTCGTTTTTATCATCGTACCCAACTGGGGTCATGGGTTGTTGGACGTCTCCCCAGTGTGGAAACCCAGGTCACACCTTGGCTTCCCAACATGTCTCCAAGGACATTTCCAACCCTTCTCACAACATAATGGTGGACACGAACGTTGGGTCCAAGTGGCCACCACACCAGTTCTTTGATGTCAAAAAAAAAAAAAAAGGTCCCACGTAGTGAGAGCCAGAACAAACCTTGGAAAAGGTTGAATGAAGGTCATAGGAATGGATTCTGGTGCCCACCAGGATCAGGGGTTGCATTTTGAGTTCATGGGAGGTGCCCAGCTGGGGTGTGATTTGGGATCCCCATGAATGAGGACGCTCCGGTCATCTTAGGGGACTTTAGAGAGAACCAGGTGGATTCAGGTGTGAGCTCAAGAGCGGGTTATCCGCGGGGGACATTGACCCAGGTGTAGATGGCTGTCCTCCTGGTTTAGAAGTCTCACTCTGGCTAATGAAACCCGAGGCCACAAGGAGGAATGCAAGATGGCGGATTCAGGATGATGGGATGGGTTGGATGGAGGGACCAGAGAGACTGTCTGTCCCCTCTGAAGAAGTGTGAGTCTGAATTAAGGTCTTGGCTTCTCTTTCCAGTCTTGGCCTTTGGTCCCAAGACTTGTCACCATCCCAAAGTCTGTGGGTGTTCAGTTCCCCTCTAAGATGGTACCCCATGTGCCTAGAACCTGCACCCATCTTCCTGTGTGCTTTATGTCATCTCTCTGTGTCACGGGACACCCGATACAATGCAAATGCTTTCTCAAGAGTCACGGTACCATATTGTCACCTATGAACCCGTTACCTGTCCATCTATCCATCCACCCATCTGTCCACCAGTTGTCTACCAATCTATCATCTGCCATCCGTCTATTAACCAGTTACCCGTCCACACCTATCACATCTGTCAGTCACTTGTGATTGACAACTGGTGTCTACAGCGTGGTGTCTACACGGCATAGATGCATTTAACACCACTCAACCGCATACGAGAAAAGGTTATGGTGGTAAATCCCACTCTATGTACATTTTTTTCCACCGAGAAAAAATAATGCATGAAAGCTAAGTAGATTCAAGTAGGTCACAGGGTTGGGCGCCATCTTGGTCCCTGTGTTTGGTTTGAGGAAGCCGATCCATTGAGATAGCTGGGAACGAGGTGTCATGTGACCCACTCGGGGACATTCTGCATGCAGAATTTGCTTGCTGGGTGTCATCCCTGATGGGACCCTGTAGGTCCTTCCTGAGCAAGGAGCGACTCTCAGTAACATTGTCCCCAAGTGCAGAAACACCTCTAGGCCACCAACAATGGTCCAAGACATTCTGCTTCTACTGAGGTCAGCTGAGCTTGGTCATCAGAGGACTCCCTGACACACAGACACCCCACCAAGGCCTGCGAGGGATTCGAGGGGCCAATACTTCCTGCCCCAACCTCCATCTTACAGACACACCACCATGGCTCGCCATTCAATTTCAATGTGTACAAAAAAACATGGCGGCCCAGTGGATTCCCTGACCCACAGAGAGCCCACTCATGCCTGCGAGGGGTTCCAGAGGTCTACACATCATGCCCCAATCTCCATCTTAAAAACACACCACCCTGGCTCCCCATTGGACTCCAACGTGTACCAAACAAACATGGCGGCTACCAATGTTTGGCCAGTTGGTGTGTTGCATGGACCATGTATTCTTCCTGGCTGAACCTTGTAGTCACATTTCCCCCCGGTGTTCTGCTAAGGAACACAGCCCTCTGTGGGATGCTGGACACTTCTGGTCAGTGAGGTTCAAGGCCATGCATGGTTGGTTACTTCATTGGCCACAGTTGACTTTCCTTCTGGGAAAGGGAGGCATGGTGGAGAGTCTGTCTCCGATGGAGGCTGGCCTTTGGGCCTCCTGTTCCCATCTTCTTAGAATCTTCTTGAGACTTAATATTTTGGACACCTCAGACCTTGGGAGAAAGGAGAGGGGGGTGCCTTTCTAGAGCTGCTGCCTTTACCCAGACACCCCTGTTTCTATCTTCCGCCCTATGTCACCTGATTGTCCTGTTGAAGCTGCAGGGAAGGCTGACCCCACGCGTCCTCCTCATCCCGCAAAGCTTGGGGACATGCTCAAAGATGCCAAGGGCTGGGGGGAGGGGAGGGGTTCTCTTTTGGGATGGGGTGGGCCACGGGGAGTTCCAGAAGGGACCGGTGGATGCTGGATGGGGCGTCTGGTTGGAGTGTGGGGGTGTAGTTGGTGACACAGTGGTCACCAACCTAAGAATTACTTTGCCCTCAAGGTCAAAGTGGCTGATTTTGAAATAAGATCATTTTTTTTGATTTTTGAATGAGGACATTTGTCTAGAATTGTTGAAAGAAAGAAAAAGAGAGCCGGCCACGCTGGAGGAATAATTTGCTGTTATCTCCTGTGGCTCTCTGGGGGAGGGCGTGGTTTCTCCAGGGTGGATTTTTACAAAATGGCGCCCACTTTCCCTCCAAGTGAAAGAGCCATTTGGGAGCAGGTGATTCTGCCCCTCTCTCCCTGTCATATGTGTATGTATCTGCAAATTTTATGTGACAGTGACCACCTGGGTACATCAGCCAGGATACCAAGCCTCCAACCCCAGTGGGATTTGTTTGGAGGTCCCAGATCCCCCTCGATGATTCCTTGGATGGCCTTCACCATCATGGGCAGACTTGACTGCTTATGTTCCTTCTCTCCTCTCCAGGGACGGGGACCTTCGGGCGCGTGCACCTGGTGAAGGAGAAGGCTGCTAAGAACTACTTTGCCCTCAAGGTCATGAGCATCCCCGAGGTCATCCGCTTGAAGCAGGAGCAGCATGTTCACAACGAGAAGTCGGTCCTCATGGAGGTCAACCACCCCTTCCTCGTCAAGCTGTGAGTTCCTCGCCTTCCCTTCCCCCTTCACCCACCCTGGGATCCCCCAGGGTCTTGTCTTAGGAGAAATGGGTTGAGCCCAAATGGACGTGGTGGTACACGTATATAATCCCAGGCTGGAGGCTGAAGGAGGAGGATGGCACATTGGAGGCCAGCCTCAGCAAAACTTAGCAAAACTCTATCTCAAAATAAAAAAAAAAAAAAGAAGGACTGGGGATGTAGCATCCTTGGATTCTATGTCTTAATGGGAAAAAAAAAAAATCTTAATGGCTTTATTAATTCCAGTCATCTTTTAGATTTCCATTAAGATGTACCCTGGACCTCCTTCCTGTTGAATGGGTCCAGCCTTTACCCAATGAATCTGTCCTTCCTCTTTGGCTTAGTCCATATGGGCTGCTACGACAAAATGGTTGAGATAGGTTATTTATAAACACCATTATGCATTCATTTATTGACCTCGGTTCTGGGGACCGGATGTCCAAGATCAACCTTGATCTTGTGTTTGCTGAGGGCCCCTTCTCTTCCAAGATGGCGCCACCTTGTTGGGTCCTCATAGCGTAGAGGGGGCAGGACCTCCCTTGGAGTCATTTATAAGGCTTAATTTCCTTATTAATGATGGCACCCTGGTGACCAAGTCACCTCCTGGAGGCCCACCTCTTACTACTAACACATTGCGGATCAGGGTCCAACATGGACGTCCAGACCATGGGGACAGGGTAAGAGTATTTCCCATGGATTTTGCCAAAGGTGTAGGCTGCCTGCGCGTCTCTCTTTCCCCATCCGTGGGGCCTTCCACCCAGCAACCCGTCTTCCATCCGCCATGTTGCTAATGTCCTTCTCCTGGATTATATGGATCCGGATTCACGCCAATCATTTCTAGACCCATCCTCACTGACGGCCCATAAGCCTCTTAACCCTCAGCATCTCTTGATCCAATCAAGTGGACAGTTCAGATTGACCGTGATAATGGCCACATGGTTTTTCCCAGATGCCTCCCCAAGGTTGTACTTGCACACCCACATGATAGGCACCCTCCGCACTTGTCTTAGCTCCATTTTTCTCTTACTGTAGCAAAATACCCGATGCTGGGTACCTTATAAAGAAAAGAGGTTTGCTTCATTCATTGGTTTGGAGGTTGCAAGCCTCACATTGGGAGGCTCCATTGGTTCAGCCTCATGGCGGTGAGCAGGTCGAAGTGGGTTGAGTTCTTGTTTTCGGCAACCTCCTGGGGCTTGGTCTTCTGCGCAGATTCTCTTTCCACGTGCTCCTCTGACTTCACGGCATACACACGTCGCCCCTGGTCTCGGGGCCACCCGGTGGCACCAGCCAGGTGTGTTAGCTTTTAGTGGGAAAATCACCTTCAGCAAATCGTCTGGAACATTCCGATTTGGGTTAAAAGCCCGTGACACTTTGTGTCCACACGGGGAGAAATGCTATGGCACCTTCCATAGGAATCTGCATCCTGTTTAGAATCTGGTGATTGAAAATCCTAATGTACTAATGTCCTTGCCCAGAAGCACAGTTTTTTGCTTATAAAAGAGAAATAGCTAGAAGGTACTACCCTGCCCCACATCCATGGGCTTCCTTTCTGGAATTTGGAAAATATTTCTTTTTGGGGGGAGGTCACAGGGATTGAATTTGGGGCACTCGACCCCTGAGCCCCGTCCCCAGCCCTATTTTGTATTTTATTGAGAGACAGGGTCTCCCTGAGTTGCTCAGGGCCTCGCTTTGACTGAGGCTGGCTTTGAACTTGAGATCCTCCTGCCTCAGCCTCCCGAGCCTCTGGGATTCCAGGTGTGCGCCATTCTGCCTGGCGATTTGGGATTTTTTTTGTTCCCTCTTTTTTTAACGGTAAAGCACAACACAGCTCATTCTTCAGGCTCTGTATGTCTTTGACATAACTAAATGGACGCGTCCCCTGGGTCCTGGAGGCTGGGAGGCTGAGAACTGGGTCAAGGTGCACCTAGTGCTGCAGACCCTCAGAGGTTCCCCCACGGTCACTCAGCTGAGCACCCCATGTCTGGCCAGCGCTGTGATTGTCCTGATTGCAAACCCCAAGAGGCACGTGTTTTCCGTGGGGTGGCACCTCGAGCGAAGGAGGTGTGGACTCCAAAGTGCCTCTCAGGTCTGTCCCGACAATCAGTCACTCGGTTTCTCTGAGCCTGAAGGAAGGAGGAAGAGATCTGCGAGTTGGGACTGTTTTGAGCTCTTCCTGTTTGAATGTGAAAAACAAAGACCTGCCAGGAGCGGTCTCTCCTCCTGGGTCATTCTGTACAAAGAACAGTTTGGGCACAGGAACAGCCGTCCCTGTCCCCAAACCTCAAATATAAGGAGATGTGTAGTGAGTTTGGGGTGTTTGTGTGGGGTTGGGCGAGGGAGCTGGGGTTCAGATGGTGAACGGGCACATTTTGCAGGAGGAATCGCTTAGTGTTTTTGTTCAGTGCTGGGCAGGGACCGCAGGGCACCACTGAGCCATGTCCCCAGTCCCTTTTTTTTTAACTAATATTTTTGCAATACCCAGGATCCATCCCAGGGGTGCTTAACCACTGAGCCCCATCCTCAGCCCTTTGTTTCTCAGTTTATTTAAGGACAGGGTCTTGCTAAGTTGCTGAGGCTGGCCTTGAACTTGCCATCCTCCTGACTCGGCCTCCCGAGTTGCTGGGAGTACAGGTGGGTGCCCTCGTGACCCCCTAGGATCAGAAGAGAAGCAGGAGGTGGACAGGGCCTTTGTTTTAGGGGAGCCACAGGGGTCAGAGAGCCAGCCTCTGGTCTCCTGGGGGCAGGGCTGGTGGCCCTGGAGGCAGTTCGGATCTTGTGGTTGCAGGGAGTAGTTGCTGCAGAGGTAACGGGTGGGGTCACGCTTGCTTCCTTGGAGGGCAGCTTTGCACGCTGTGGGGAAACTGTGACCAACTTTTTAAAGTCAGCTGACTACCCACAAACAGCCTGGTTTGGGCTTTAATTAGGAGCACCTGCAGAGGGAGCCTTGGCTGCACACTTTGCAGGCGAAAGACTGACAGCAGCCTCCGCCATAGCCCTGCCTTGAGCTAGAGACGCAGGAGGAGAGAGCCCTGGTCAGGCAGCTACTGCAGGGGCGTGGTCATGGGCGTGGCCACGGAGGGGTGTGGTCACAGGGGCCTATTGGCGTGCTGACTACGGGGCGTGGTTACCGTGGGGCGTGGTTATGCTAAGGTGTGGTCCTGGTGGTGTGGTTACACTGGGGAGTGTTCCGATTGGGTGTGATTGAGGTGGAGGCGTGGTTACAGTGGGGCGTGGTTATGCTAAGTTGTGGTCCTGGTGGGTGTGGTTACAGTGGGGAGTGTTCCGATTGGGTGTAATTGAGGTGGAGGCGTGGTTACAGTGGGGCGTGGTTATCTGTAAGGTGTGGCTGTGGTGGGTGTGGTTATGGGGGAGTGGCCACAATGGAGTGTAACTGAGGTGGGGGCGTGGCCACAGTGGGCGTGGTTATGGCTAAGGCGTGGTTACACTGAGGCATGATTACAATAGGCTGGTTATATCAGGGCATTGTCTCTGTGGGTGTGGTCATGGGTGGGGGTGTGGCTTCATTGGGGCGTGGTTTATGGCTGGGGGGTGTGGTTACAGTGGGACTGGATATGTATAGGACTACTTGCAGTGGGTGTGGTCGCTATGGGGTGGGTCATGGTGGGGGCGTGGCCACAGCTGGGCGTGGTTTATGACTAGGGTGTGGTTACAGTGGGACATGGTCACTATGGGGTTGGTTATAGTAGGGCGTGGTCACCATGGGCTGTGGCCATGGTGGGGGTGTGGCCTGAGTGGGCGTGGTTTATGATGGGCGTGGTTATGGTGGGATATGATTTATGGGTCTAATTATGCTGGGGCGTGGCCACAGTGGGCGTGGTTATGGGACTGATTATGAGGGTCTCAGTTAAGGGGTGCGGTTATGGGGTCCCTCCTGAGACTGGGAACTATCCGTGTGTCCCCACAGTTTGCTAACTGTTCAGGTTGACTCTCTCTGTTGCTTAACTATTTGAAAAAGACTTGGTCACAGAGACAAAAATTAAGATGGACACATTCTTTAAATTTAAAAATGTCCTTGTCATCAAGAGTAGCATCTTAACATTTATTTTCTTGGCTTTTTTCTTTGGCTCTCTTTTTTTTGGGGGGGGGTGTCAACCCAGAGGTGCTTAACTACTGAGCCCCATCCCCAGCCCTTTTTATTATTTTGAGACAGAGTCTCGCTAAGTTGTTTAGGGCCTCCCTAAGTTGCCAAGACTGGCCTCCAACTTGTCATCCTCCTGCCTCAGCCTCCTGAGCCACTGGGATTATAGTGGTGCACCACTGCTCCCACCCCATCTTTATCATTTTGAGGCGTTTAGTCCAGTGTCCTTAAGAATATTCTTAACTGTCATGGGACCATCCCTACCAGAGATTTTTTAACTTGTGAAATTGGAACTCTTATAACTCTCCATTTTCCCTCTGCCAGTCCCTGTGACTACTTGATTCTAGTCTCTGTCTCTGAGCTTGATGACTCTGCAGACCCCCTGTGAGTGGACTCATGCAGTGCTTGTCCTTTTGTGTGTGACTGAATTCACGGAGTATGATTTCCCTGGGGTTCACCCACCCTGGACCCTGCTTCAGAATTCTCTTCCTTTTGAAGGCTGCATAATATTCTGCTACATGGATACCCCCGTGTTTATCTGCTCATCCATATAGAGACAAATGGGTTGCTGTCTCCTTTGGGCTTTTTTGGCTATGGACCTGGTCGTAGTGTTCAATTGTCTGCTTTTAATGGTGTGTATAAAATTTCCCCCCACTTAGAGAAGGCATATGCATTTTGCTGTTTATTTTAAATGGTGCCACATGGGATTGTCTTTTTTCTTGCCGTCTCCAAATGCCAGATAACCATTTGACATGGGTTGGAATGGATCTTTGCACACTTTTCTCTGAGCTTAAAAATCCGCACACACACACACACATATACACACACACGTGGTCTTGGTGTTAGGACACCACACTGCGAACACAGTTTGGCCATCCTGCGCGTCCAGTCTGCTGCCCGCCAATCAGCTCAGATACCCCCCAGGGTCATTTCCTGCACAGATGCGACCTTGGAACTTCCTCCCTGCCCTGCCCTCACCCCCCATCTGTTCCTTCTTTCAACTTCCCCATTTTATAAATGGCCCTTCCCATCTCTCGGGTCCCATGTGGCCGCCATTTTTAATTACTTTCCGTTGACTTCTCCTCTGGTTGCCGGCCCTGCCCTGTCCATCCCAAGGGCACCATCAGCTGACCACACACACACAGAGCTCAGAACACACCCTCTCTGCCCGCGGAGCCCAGCCTTTGATGGGGGCCTCCGTTTCCAGCCTCCTTTGACCCTGATCTCTCTGGGCTTCATCCCACCTGTCCTACTGGGTGCCACATGTTTCAGGATCGCACATCGTTCTCGTTTCTGAATCTCCCCACGGATCCCTGGACCCCTTGGGGACGAGACCCGAGTCGACCCACAGAGTCCCTGTGTGTTGCACAGAGGTCGCGGAGGATGCGTCAGCCTCGAGTCATGGTTCTGAGCCGGGCTCAGCTGCGCGGAGCAGAGTCTCACGCTGCGGGCTCCCCGTGGTCCTGCGGGGACTTTGGAGACCCCATAGCCTTTGGGGTTTCGGAGACTCGGACTGAACATGCTCCGTCGCGAGGGGACACATCTTATGGCGAGTCTGATTCCTGCACAGCTGCAGCGCCCATGGGTGCGCACAGGATTGGCTCCTACTGTATACCTGCCAGGCGCTTCCGTGCGGGTGGGACAATGCACTTCGTGAGTTATCGACAGACGTGCCCAAGGGACCCCGGGGCGGGGTGGGGGGGTCAGGAAGCATTAAACGCGCAATGCACTTTGCAGAAGCCGCTCTCGTCCGCCCTGGCACTTGGATGGTCCCCAAGGGACGCAGCCCTCAGCTAATGGGAGTGACCTGCTCGGCTGATGGGCCCCACCCTGCTGCCTGCTGTCTGCTGAGCTGCGGTTCCAGGTCACTGGGGCTCAAGTCAATGGACAGGTGTCCGTGTGCATCCAAGTAGCCCTCCTCCGTCTTGTGCCTGGTCCCCAACTTGCTTTGCCCCTCGGGCTCCAAATCAGGTGTCCTTGGAACGAGGTGATGTGCCTTGCTGCTGATCAGCTGGGCAGCTGCCCCTTGCATTTGAAATACCCACCAGTTGATAATGAAGTATTGCTTTTTTCCTTCCCCCTCCTGGGTGGTTGCAGCCACAAAGATCTATCTCCCTAGTCCTGGAGGACGGAAGCCCGAGGTCCAGGTGTGGGCAGGGCTGGCTCCTCCTAACCGTCTCCCCTGGGCTTCCTGACACTGTCTTCTCCCTGTGTCCTCCTGGGGCCGTCCCTCTGTGTGCGTCTGTGTCCCCATCTCCTCCTCTACAAGGACCCTAGTCCTGCTGGACAGGGCATCCTGGGGACCTCACTGCACCTCCATCCCCTCTGCCAAGACCTGTCTCCACACACAGGCACGTCCCAAGGTCCTGAGGTCAGGGCGGCAGCAGCAGAATTTGGAAAGGGACCTAAGTGATTCCCTGGCTTCTTGACAGAAGGTGGTCTTCGCCCTCCTCCCACACCAGGACAGTGAGACCTGTGTGTCGATCCTGTCACCCAACCATCCAGCTGGCGAACTGTTACTAAGTTGCTTGTACCAACGGGGTCGTATTGTGAGGCAGGGATTTTGAGAAGCAGTTAATGGGTTCTCAGTAATCTTCTAACGAATGACTTTCTATGCCTGTTGGTCAGTTTTTCATTGCTATAACAAAAAACCTGAGGGTTGATAATGTATATATATAAAAAAGGTCTTTTTTTTTTTTTTTTTAAAGCTCCTAGGTCTAGACGTTGGAAAAGCCAGATACAGTGGCCTCCTGGGCTGCACTGGAACCTGGCACTTGGCCTCATGGTTGGGAGTATGTGGGACATGATGGGACTTCATGGCAAGACAGGGAGCCAGGGACCTTCAGTAGCCACCCCCCCCCCTTGAGTACACGGTCCCTGCCCAGCACCCCACCAGGAACCAAGCCTGATCTTAGGGAGAACACAGCACACCTGGTTGTCTGTGTCTCTGTGCGTGTTTCTTGAGCATATTCTAAATACATCCTATGCATTTCTCCAAATTTCCGTCTCTGTGCGCATGTGCTGACACCCGTCTGTATGCACCTCTCGAACCTCTGGGTGCAGCGAGATCTGAACATGTATGCATCACCGGCTCCTAACTGGACGCACATTTTTCTTTTATTCTTTTGGTGTCGCGGATGGATCTCCCGTCGTGGCTCCTGCTAAGCTGGGTTCCACCGTGGAGCTCCGGGTGTCTCCTTTCGGGTCCTCACCAAGGCCATAAACCTGTGTGTGGGTCCCTCTTCACATCTGCGTGTCCCCGTCCTGGGACATCTCACTGAATACGTCCTAAGCATGTGCGCACACTGAGCATCCGTCTGTCTGTGCGTCCTGACACGTCCTCGTCCCCAAGATAGCCGCATGGCCTCTACCTGCACCTGCTAACAGGTGTGCACGCCCCATGCACACACCCGTCCCTCTGCACCCTAAGCATCGTGGCGCCTCCATACCCCGAGCGCCTTTTAGTCCCTGTGCATCTTGACACCCACCTCCGGGCGCCTGGCGCACGCCTGTCGTCTCCGCGGCTGCGGAGGCTGAGGCAGGAGGATCGCGAGTTCAAAGCCAGCCTCAGCAGCTGAACGAGGCCGTGCGCATCCCCCCCGGAGCCACAGCCACCTGACGCGCGTATCTCAGTGTGGAACTGTGGAACGTCACCCGCGCTCCAGCGTCGCCCTTCCCTGGTCCCCGCAGGTTCTGGACGAGCCACGACGATCGCTTCCTCTACATGCTGATGGAGTACGTGCCGGGCGGCGAGCTCTTCAGCTACCTGCGCAACCGCGGCCGCTTCCCGTGCAGCACGGGCCTCTTCTACGCCACGGAGATTGTGTGCGCCATCGACTACCTGCACTGCAGGGACATCGTCTACAGGGACCTGAAGCCCGAGAACATACTCTTGGATCGGGACGGCCATATCAAGCTCACGGACTTCGGGTTCGCCAAGAAGCTGGTGGACAGGTAAGAGAACCCCCCGGGGGCGCGCGTGCGCCTGCAGAGTGGCGAGGCCAGGCACCGAGGTGCCGCCAAAGCGCAGAGCGTCCACCGTTCCATGTGAAGCCGGGGGTCCAGGGGCACAGCTGGGGCTTCCTGTGGTCCGCGCTGGTCCCTGGACAGGTCATGCTCCTTCGTGTCCACCCTGGAAGAGACCCCTGCGTGGCCCTGCCGTGCTGACCCGAGACTGTCCAAGGTGCCCGAGGCGCATGCACAGCCCCTGCGGGGAGCACAGTGCAGATCCCGCTCCAAAGCTGCTGCGCCCTGCGCTCGCGTCCTTCACCCTCCTATCGCTGGGTCTGCGCTGCGTTTCCATTGGACGGGCCTTTGCCATGTGCGTGTCCCTCACACGTACGTGCGTCCCCGCTGCGTTTCCATGTCATGGATGCACAAGGCTCAGGGTAAGAGGGCCGCGTTCCAGGTTGCACACGCCATTACGGATCCAATTGCAATTTTAAATTTTCTACCAGGGATGGAACTCAGGGACCCTCGACCCCTGAGCCCCGTCCCCAGCCCTATTTTGCATTTTATTGAGAGACAAGGTCTCCCTGAGCTGCTCAGGGCCTCGCTTTGGCTGAGGCTGGCTTTGAACTCGCGATCCTCCTGCCTCAGCCTCCTGAGCTGCTGGGATGACAGGCGTGTGCCACCGCACCCGGCTGGTATTGCACTTTGAATCCCACGTTTTCCATTACGCACGAGGTTACAGGAGACATGAGTGTTCTCCAGAGAAGGGGAAGGAGGAGGAGAGGCGGGTCCTCTGTGGAAAACCCTGATCCGTAAAGTCCTCTTGTGCACACGTATGCACGCAGCATGTGTCAATATGTGCACATCCATGTGCACATGTGTGAACGTGCTTATGTTAGCACACGGGACTGATCGTGTCAATCTATTGTATATTAACACGATATAACAATATACCAAGTACTTACGGATATAAATACATAGAATTATACACGGTGTACAATATTTGTTATATATGTAAATACTTAGTACAGTAACAAGTATTGTACCTTTCCCATTGTGTATTATATTGTACCAAATATGATGTTAGTGTTCACCAGAGAAGCAAAACCAGGACACTTATAATCCTGTCTGAAAAACCCTAATTGATATAGACTTAAAGTGCTCTGTATGCATATATATTTACTCATGAACATACGTAAGCATGTACATATATACATGTATTATATACTATATTATGTTAATATGCATTTATGGGCATGTATACATATAGTATCATATTAATGTACTCACATCTAAACACAGACCATTAATACATATGCATAGATACATGTGCATATATATATATGCATGTGTAGGTATATATTTCATTATATTAATATATATTAGCATTAATTATGTCCATAAAATATATGAACGATGCATTTATATTATATAATGGTATAACATATATTTAATGATATAAATATACAAGTCATTTTGTGTACAAAATTCCTGATACATATAAATATGTACTCATATAATACAGTATCTATGATGTATTATGGTATATATAAAAATAGCACAAGCAGAAGAAGAGTTTTTACCCTCTGTGGAAAACCCTTTTATATGTGCATTATATATTTATACACATGCACATACATCTACCCATGCAGGTGAATATATCATATTGTATAAATGTATGCACACACTCCTACATGCATATATTTGCATATATTCATATATGTATAGATTATATCCATATCACACATTGCATACACACAAGTGTATGGATGTCGTGTTAATATATATGCACATACATGTGTTTATGTACACTTCAACATAAGTTATAATTATATTGGTATTAATCATGTCGATGTAATGCATTAGCATTTTAATACACATATATGTCGTTTTAATATATGCACATGTGTGTACATATACATGGGTGTATAGTATAAATCAGTATATTAGTGTTAATCTTGCCAATTAATACATTGGCATTTTAATACACATGTATTATGTGGTTCTAATGTGCATACGTGTGTGTACATACACACATGTGCATAGGACATAGTTGAATATATTGGTATTAGTTCTGTCAATGTCATCCACTGATATCTCATAACCCATTGAACACATTGACGAACGTAGGTGACATTCACAGCCTATGCACAATGTGTAAACAGGTGTAGGCACCCACACAGTGACGAGTTCACACGGCCTCGCATCTGTGTGTCTGTCTAGCACTGCTGTGTCCTGGACGGTGGCCTCTTCTGTGGCCCACGCCTGTCATCCCAGCAGCTGGGGAGGCTGAGGCAGGAGGATCGTGAGTTCAAAGCCAGCCTCAGCCAAAGGGAGGCCCTAAGCAACTCAGGGAGACCCTGTCTCTAAACAAAATGCAAAATAGGGCTGGGGACGGGACTCAGGGGTCGAGTGTCCCCGAGTTCAATCCCTGGTACCCAAAAGAAAGAAAGAAAAAAAAAAATGTCTTCCTGTAGTTTAACCTTGAGAGACCAGACTCATCGGTCCAAGCTGCTGTGAAAGACTTTTGAAAGTTTTTCGGTAACTGTCCCAAGTGTTGGTTTTTCAAGTTCATTTTAAATTAAATTGAAGGAGACGATGACCCTCCTTTTGCCCAGAATAATTAATAATTAGGTCACTTTTTTTCCTCCAAAAAATTTGTAGGGTTCGTGCTGCCCTCTGCTGGCGGCCCGCGGTATATGTGGAGACCCAGGTCCTTGAATGAATATCCGGGTTCCCAGGCCTCCTCCCGTGGGCCACGCCCCTTTTCTTTTCTTAAAGTTGTTTTCCTGACGGAAAGCGACCCAGAAAGAAAGTGCTCCCTGTGTTCATTTTTCTGTCCGTTACACAGATCCTGTGGCTACCCCGTTCATCCGTCATAATATCCACGGAAGCTTATTTTTTTGAAGGTCACTGAGGTTTTGATTTTGCATTTTAAAAATGAATATTATAAAAAACGAATATTATGGTCGCTTTACCATTTATTTATCTGGTGTTGGGCATTGGACCAGACCCGCTTTAGCACTGAGCCACATCCCCAGCTCTTTTTATTTTATTTTATTTATTTTTTTTTATTTAGAGACAGGGCCTCATCCGTTGCTTAGGACCTCACTTGAGTTGCTGAGGCTGGCCTCCAACTTGCCATCCTCCTGCCTCAGCCTCCCGATCTGCCCTCTCCATGCTCTACGAGAGCTTCGGTGTTTAACTAAAATCTGCAGATTCCCAACTCTCTGGGAATCTGGGAAGATGCTCAGAAGATCAACCTTTCTTGCAAGAAAGGCGACGGTCTGGGCAGCAGCAAATGCGTTGATGATTAAAAACAAAACATAACAAAAGGAAAAAAAAATAGCAAACCAGGCAGAGTGACCTCCCTGCATCCCAAGGCCACGCCAAGTCGCTGGAACTTCATGTGGTTGATAAAAAATCCAATCCCCTCTTTCGCCACTTGTCCACTGGGTGGCGCTAGAAGCTAAGCTAATATTTTCTTTTCTTTTCTTTTCTTTTCTTTTTTTTTTTTTTTTTTTCCTGGTCCCAAGGATTGAACCCAGGGTCTCCCCGAGTAGCTTAGGGCCTCCCTAAGTTGCTGAGGCTGGCCTCCAACTAGCCATCCTCCTGCCTCAGCCTCCGGAGCCTTGGTTTCTCGCCTTTTGCAGATACGTGAGGAGCTGGGTGGGGACATTGGGATGCCCTGTGTCCCTGCAGCTGCTGACCTCCCCGTGCTCCTCTCTGTTGCCTTCCCAGGACGTGGACCCTCTGCGGGACCCCCGAATACCTCGCCCCTGAAGTCATCCAGAGCAAAGGCCACGGGCGGGCCGTGGACTGGTGGGCGCTGGGCATCCTCATCTTCGAAATGGTGGCAGGGTGAGTGGGCCCCCCTCGCAGACAGTGCGGATTACACCGTAGCACCTCCCGCTGTCCATCTGTCCAAGAGACATTGCTGTCTATCTGTCCAGGGGACGTTGCTGTCCCCAAACTCGAAAATGCATGCGTGCTATGACGACGGACAGGCTGCTGCACGGGGGCGGGAAAGGCAAACCCGTGAACAGGGGACCGTCCACCCTGGAGACGTCCTGAGAAACAAGCGCTTTCTTAACTACGGAGTCCACCTGGGGCCCGAGGCTGACCTACAATGAACATGCAGAACCGAGCAGCCTACATGTCACACACAGCTACGGCCATCAAAGGTGGCCAGCATCCTATACAGGGAGCAGCTGGCCATGCTGCCTCCCGAGATCTATGACCAGGGTTAGCAACAGCTAGACCCTCTCACATCTCTCTGGTTCCCCTCGGTTACCTGGCTACCCCTGGAAGCTGACAGGGGTCAGGGGCCCAGGTGCCTTTGGCTGCTGTCTGCAGGGAAACTTCACCCCTCGCTGCCCAGAGGGGCCTCGGGATCAGGCCAACCAGCAGGAGTCTCCCCCCC